GAAAGCTTTTACAAGGATGGTAGCAGAAGTGTTTCATCAATCCTTTGAAATGTTGGTGTCACTGGTGAGGCCATTTGTCAGACAAGGGGCAGCAGATACATGGGAACACCATCCCCTGCAAGTTCCCCTCCAAGCCACTCACCATCCTGACTTGGAAACGTATCACCGCTCCTTCAGTGTCGCTGGATCATAATCCTAGAATTCCCTCCCTAATAGCATTGTGGGTCAACCTACAGCACATGGACTATAGCGGATCAAGAAGGCAGCTCAACCCCAGCTTCTCAAGGGGCAATTAGGGATGGGCAAGAAATGCCGACCCAGCCAGTGACACCTATGTCGATGATTTAAGTAAAACAAACTGTAGGTGGTCCTTGGGAGCTGATTACATTCCAGCAGCTGTGCAGTCACTGCTAGGTGGTGTGTATATACCCGCCAGGGGTGAGTTAGCTCAGTTGGGCTGGATGGCTGGTGTGTGATGGCCACATCCCTGTTACCATGGAGTACCCTCCTTCTCAACCTCTCCCCTTGCCTGAGGTGTGGTGACCCACCAACAGTTGTCTCTCTCTGATGAGACCACTCTTTATTACCAGCCAGGTATCATCGCAGAGGCAAACAACTGCAATGCCAGTCAATGCAAACACTGTGCCTGTTGCTCCCAGCCCAGTTTGATGGGCTGACGGGTGATTTATCTCATTGTCTGTTGGCTGTGTTTCTTTGTTTGCCTTTGTTGAAAGGCGCGGCAAGCTGCCCCCTGCATCTTGTTCTTCGATGAGCTGGACTCCATTGCGAAGTCTCGGGGAGGGAGCGCTGGCGATGGCGGGGGGGCATCGGACAGGGTGATCAACCAGATCCTCACCGAGATGGACGGCATGTCGGACAAGAAGAATGTCTTCATTGTGGGAGCCACAAACAGGTGGGTGGGTGGGGATCGGGTTGGGGGGGAGATCATCCCTGTCTCACACACACATACCTTCCCCTGCACAGGGCTGTGTGTGTGTGTGTGTGCGTGTGTGTGTGTGTGCATGCGCGTGTGTGTGTGTGTGCGTGCGTGCGTGTGTGTGCGTGCATGTGTGTGTGTGTGTGTGCGCGTGCGTGCATGTGTGTGTGTGCGCGCGCGTGCGTGCGTGCGTGTGTGTCACCTACAGGTAAACAGCGTGATTAATACAGGAACCTGCTGGTCTCTGTGCCTCAGACTGACCGTTCAGCCAGTCACCCTACAGTGAGACATTGGTAGCATTGTTCCAGCACTGCCTGTGGCCGTTCAGCCCGTCATGCCTGTGCCGGTTCTATTATCAAGTGACAATTTCCTCCATAGCCCTGCACCTTATTTCTATCTAAATAACTATCCAATGCACCTTTTCAATGCCTCGATGGACCTGCCCTCCTCCACATTTCCAGGCAGTGCATTCCACACCCTAACTACGTGCTGAGTCAAAATGTCTTTTTAAGTTACACTTCATTTGCCATCACTTTTTAAATCTATGCTCCTCTCATTCTTGATCCTTGTACAAGCAGGAACAGCTTCTTCATATCTGTGATAGTAGGAACTGCAGATGCTGGAGTCAGAGATAACAAGGTATAGAGCTGGATGAACACAGCAGGCCAAGCAGCATCAGAGGAGCAGGAAAGCTGACGTTTCAGGTCATTTTCTGAAGAAGGGTCCCAACCTGAAACATCAGCTTTCCTGTTCCTCTGGTGCTGCTTAGCCTGCTGTGTTCCTCCAGCTCTACACTATGTTACCTTCTTCCTATCTGTTCTATCCAGCCACACTCATGATTTTGAAAACCTCAATCAAATCTCCTCTCAGCCGCTTTCTCTCCAAGGACTACAGTCCCAACATCTTCAATCTGTCCTCATCAATGAAGCTTCTCCTCCCTGGAACCATTCTTGTAAACCGTGTCGGCGCTGCATGTTCAGTGCGTGCACACCTTTCCTGTTATGTGCTGTCCACAGCTGGACACAATACTCCAGCTCAGACCTGACAAGTGTCTTGTAAAAGTTCAACATCACGATCAAGGACTCTCACCAACAATTGCAGATGCGCCATAGAAAGCATACCATCACAGCTTGGTATGGCAACTGCTCTGCCCAGGACTGTAAGAAACTACAGAGAGTTGTGAACACAGCCCAGACCATCACACAATCCAACCTTCATCCATTGAGTCCACCTACTCTTCGTGTTGCCATGGAAAAGCAACCCTCCCAACCTGGTTATAATCTCTTCCAACCTTTCCTGTCAGGCAGAGGTAAAAAAGCTTTGTTTAAGTACCAACCACTTCCAGAACAGCTTCTTCCTCGCTGTTATTAGATTTCTGACCGGTCCCCTCAAATTTCAAATTTAATGTTGATCTTGCTTTTGTACAGCTCCTGTGCAGCCACAACTTTGTGTGTCTCGCTCATTCACCCTGTGGTCTGAATGTTCTTGTATGCTCTGATCTGCCTGTACTGCACGCAAAACGAAAGTTTTCACTGTATTTAGGTACATGTGACAACAACAAATCAAATCTTCACCCCCGTGCTCTTGTACCCTGTGCCCGTATTAATAAAGTAAAGGATACTGTCTGCTGTCTCTACCTGCACTGTCACCTTCCATGGGCTGTGCACATGCATACCCAGGTCCCTCTCCCTTTGGAACTGCACCCACTATTTTATCTTGTGTCTTCCAATGTTTTTCTGCCCATTGTGACAAAGGAGCAGCGCTCTAAAAGCTTGTGATTTCAAATAAACCTGTTGGACTATAACCTGGTGTCGTGTGATTTCTGACCTTGTCCACCCCAGTCCAACATCGGCACTTCCATTTCTGGAGTTCCACGCTGTCCTCTTCCCAGTTCACAAATCCTTCCAAGTTTAGAGCCATTGAACGCTCCTGTTTTGTTTGAATTCCCTCTCTGGTGAACGGCCACCCTTCTATTAAGATGCATGTCCTTCCTGTTACCGTGTGACCCGACTCAGCTGTCTGCTTCCAGGCCGGACATCATTGACCCAGCCATCTTGCGACCCGGCCGCTTGGATCAGCTGATTTATATCCCACTGCCCGACGAGAAATCCAGGGCGTCCATTTTGAAAGCTAACCTGAGGAAGTCGCCCATTGCCAAGGTACAGAGATTGGGGGAATTCCAGCAGTGGGTTCCAGGCCGGTTGGGGGGCGGCGATAAGTTACCGGGGAGGGGGGGTTACAGACGACGCAACCGAGGACAGAGGCATGGGGGTGACAGACAGGGAAAAGCATAGCAGAGATCAATCAGAGGGCAGAATGGCCTTTCACAAATACTTCCCCTGGGGTGGGGGAGGGGGATAAGGGTGGGGGTGGTGTAGGGGCAAATTTTGGGTAACGTGAGTGGGAGTGGAAGATGGGGACAGTGGGGTGTGGGGGTAAGGCGTACAGAGACAATATTCTGCTTATAGCGGAAGCACTGCTACCCCTGAGCAGTAGGGGGCACTCTCTGCCTGTGTTTGGGTTGGGGTAGGGTGTGATGCTAAAGGAGAGGAATTTTTAAATGCTGTCCATTTTCTGTGCATTTCTTGATATGTCACACACTGTTTTTGCAAATTGTCGTCTCGTCATCTCTCCCCCAACTCCCCTTTAAACCTCCCCACTGCCTCCCCCCGCACCTCTGTCTCACAGTGAGGGTCCCAGTTGTTGTTGTTGTACTTGCAGCATTGAAACAAGCTCCATTCGACTAGCGGTGCGCCACATGAGCATCCTCCCTCCTCCCACTTTACAGAATCTCAGCCCAACGACATCACTGTCTAAAAGCAGCAGGATCCCACAGATGCTGGAAATCTGAAATAAACTCAGAGAGAGCTGGAGGTCTGGCAGTGAAAAGTAGAGTTAACATTTTGAGTCTAGTCGGAAATGCTGATTTTTAGCATTAAAAATACGGATATTTTCCCAGCCCCCTTCTGTCCTGAAGAGTCATTCGGACTTGACATTAGCGTAGCCTCCATTTCTTGGTGCATTTATCTTGTTTTTACATCAGTATATCTCTGCTATTCGCTTTGACCATCCTCTGTGGGAACAAGCTCCATGTTTTCAGCGAAACTCCTCCGGCTACGTGACAGGATTTCTTCAGGATTTCCTGTGCATCTATGGGTGCCAGTCCCTTGCCTGTAACCTCAGTGTGTGATACAGTGGTTGGGTTGGCTCTCGAACTCCAGTGAGGCGATCCGAAATCAGACCCCCTCTGTGTAGGGGTCGTGTGAACTCCAAACCCTGTTTGAAGCAAGAGCTGAGAATCTGAACTAGGCCAGACAAACTCAAAGGCCACCTTGATGTGTAGCAGATCTGGTTCTCGACGCCAATGAGGTGGCGGGCAAGTGTGGAGTTTGCCCCTTCCAGGTTATTTCGTTTGAAGCGCGTTATCCCTGATAGAAAGAGAAACTGGGTGTGGATACTGTGGTATTGAAAGATCCGACAGATGTTTATTTACCGTTGGCAGTAATTATATTCACAGACACACAAGCGTCTGGCTTCGCGCCAGGCTATTCAGTACCAGCAGAGGAGCATGCCCCTAGTAGAGTGTCATGCTTCATGTGGCCTGAGGTAAGATGGAGTCTGAGAGCTATTTCCCTAGCTATGAGATAATAAGCATGTTTCTTGAAAGCACTGTGAGACAGAGGCACATAACAGATGCCGTCAGGGGGTGGGGATGTAATTAAAGCGCCATGTTGACACCCAGCTTATTTGTTTTCATTCTCAGAATGTGGACTTGGCGTACCTGGCCAAAATAACACATGGCTTCTCGGGTGCTGACCTGACTGAGGTTTGTCAGCGGGTTTGCAAACTCGCCATCCGAGAGGCCATCGAAGCGGAGATTAAACGGGAGCAGGAACACCAAAACAACCCGGATGTAGCCATGGTGAGTGGGCAGGCAGACATCCATCACCTCCCCCCGCCCCCCCCCACCACCTCCGGGGGCATATAAAACAAACCTTTCAACATGGGCACGCCTGGCATCGGGCCTTCTAATCTCCGGTGGAACTTTACATTTCCATCTTGACGCCCGGAGTTGGGGGTTCGTGGGTCGGGGGAGGTTATGGAGTCGCACACTGTGTATGGAGCCCCACACCGACCTGCGTTTAGATAGCGCCTCCATCGTAAAACATCCCACGTTACTTCCCGGGAGTGTTTTCCAACCAAATCCGACACTACGCCTATGGAGATGGGGTACGTGACCAGGAGCATGGCCAAAGAGGTCGGATTTAAGGAGCGTCTTAAAAGAGGGAAAAGAGAGCGAAGTGTTAGGGAGAGAATTCCGGGGATGTTTCTTTCTACGTCCGTCACAAGATGGTGGGCGGTGCTGCCCAGGTCAGCAGTCATCCCCCATCCCATAATTGGCCTTTTGTGAAGGTCATGGTGACCGTTCTCCCTGTGGTGTAGGGACAGACACAGTGCTGTCCTGGGGGAGGGGAGTTCCAGGATTCTGACCCAGCGACACTGAAGGAATGGCGACATATTTCCATGTGAGTGTCTCGGAGGGGACCCTGCAGGGGGTGGTGTTCCCATTTCTGTTTGTTGGAGAATTTTTTGATTTAACCTGTTAATGGAGGTGGGGACACCATTGGCCTGGCCTGTATTTTATTGCCCACCCCTAACTGCCCTGATGGTATTGATGAGCCAGTTCAGGAGTAGACAGCTCAAAAAATTCTCATCCACCTAGACCTTGGCTGTGATGGTGTTGCCAAGGAGATTATTGGTTGTAGGGTGGGGAGGACGAATCTAGTGGATCCCATTGAGAGATTCCTAATGCAACCCAATTCTCAGCCAATAAGCAGAATCAGGCAGAAGGTGCAGAAGCTTGAACACACGTACCAACAGATTCAAGAACAGCTTCTTCCCTCCTGCTGTTATCAGACAGCTGAATGGAGCTCTCTAATTTCAAATAACGTTGATCTTGTTAATATTAGTCTTGTTTTGTGCTCCTCCTGTGCAGCGTAACCCTGTATACCTCACTCTGTCTAAGCGCCCTATGATCCCAATGTCCTTGTTTGCTGTGTTTTTGTTTTCTATTCATTTTGTGGGATGTGGGCATCGCCGACTAGACTAGCATTTCTTGCCCATCCCTAATTGCCCCTTGAGAAGGTGTTGGTGAGCTGCCTTCTTGAACCGCTGCAGTCCTCCAGCTGTGGGTTGACCCACAATGCTATTAGGGAGGGAATTCCAGGATTGTGACCCAGCGACACTGAAGGAATGGCAATATATTTCCAAGTCAGAATAGTGTGTGGCTTGGAGGGGAACTTGCAGGGGGTGGTGTTCCCATGTATCTGCTGCCCCTTGTCCTTCTAGATGGAAGTGATCATTGGTTTGGAAGGTGCTGTCTGAGGATCTTTGGTGAATTTCTGCATGAATGATCTTCCTGTACTACTCACAAAACAAAGTTTTTCACTGTACTTAGGTACATGACAACAATAAATCAAATCAAATCAAATAAAATTCTAGCCTGTAGTGAGATGAAGCCCCAGGAAAGGGTTCTTTTATAAAATTGAACGCAGCTCCACCCTCCCCACGCTCCCGGAACTCAGTTCCACGGTAGGTCCTGCCGCGTTGCTGTGTCGTGCTCAGACCTGAAGCTCATCCCTTCCTTTTCCTTGCTCTCTTGGACCAGGAGGACGACTACGACCCCGTCCCTGAGATTCGTCGGGACCACTTCGAGGAGGCTATGAGGTTCGGCCGCCGCTCGGTCAGTGACAACGACATCCGGAAATACGAGATGTTCGCCCAGACGCTGCAGCAGAGCCGCGGTTTCGGAAATTTCAGGTCTGCCTTCGGTAGTGGAGCAGGCTCTAACACCACGGGCAAACACAGCCCTGACCTGGGACAGGGCGTTGGGATAATAGCACGCAAATTAGTTATGTTGGTGCAGACTCGATGGGCAGAATGGCCTTTTCTGCGCTGTATGAATCTAAGCATTAATGTAGTGCCATTTGTGAACACACTGTGTTCCGAAGCCTCATTTTTCTAAAGTTGCATTTACTGCTATAATGAAGGAAATACAGCAGCCAGTTTGCACACAGCGAGCTCCCACAAACAGCAATCTGATTCACGTTTGAAGGGAGGGTTAAACATTGGTCAGCAGTCGAGGGAGAACCCCCCCACCCCCGCTCTTCAAAATGGTGGAGGGAGATCTCCCAAGAGGACAGACAGGACCACAATTTAAAATCTCCAGCAAAAGGCAACATCTCCGACAGTGCGGCGCTCCCTTAGCGCTGACCCTCCGACAGTGCGGTGCTCCCTCAGGATTGCACTAAATGTGGCTGCTCGGAGTTCCCGCTCCATTCCCTGGACGGACTATGGGGGGCTGGAACACACAGCCTTGTGACATAGCTGAGGCTGCTATTCCTGGAGCCAGTGGCACGTAGTGGTTTCTGTACCTGGCTTTAATTCATTCCGTAAATCTCATCACCAGTTTCTGACATTCCAGCACTTCACAGCCAGTGATGTGCATCTGTATTCAACATCGGAAAGACCTGTTGAGTTTCTCCTGCACTGTGGAGAGAGAGAGAAACCGAGTTAACATTTCTGCTCCAGTGACCCTTCTTCAGAGCTTGGTTTTATTTTTACTGTTATGTACACCTCTGTATTGTTAGACTGAAGGTACCTAATGGGTTCTTTCAAGTCTGATCAAAATGATTACAAGACATGTGCGCTTTAATATGAAGCAAATTTACTAGCTTAATCTACTTAATATAAGTTAGAGACATATGCAAATAAATGAGTGAATCTATTATAGTAGAACCCCTACAGTGAGGAAAGAGGCCATTCAGGTCCAGGCAGACCCTCCGAAGAGCATCCCATCCAGACCCATTCCTGTAACCCTGCATTTCCCATGGCTAACCTACCTCATCTACACATTCCTGAACGCTACAGGCAATGTAGCATTGCCAATCCACCTAGCCTCCATATCATTGGACCGTGGGAGGGAACCGGAGCACCCAGAGGAAACCCACGCAGACACGGGGATAATGTGCAAACTCCACACAGACAGTTGCCTGCGGGTGGAATTGAACCTGGGTCCCTGGTGCTGTGGGGCAGCAGCACTAACCCTGAGCCACCCCACTTAGCTTAAGCTATGTAATAAACACTGACATTATATACAAAGAAGTGAGTCTCACACTGCCAACACAGACTTTGGTGACGGGGCACTCAGACGTCTATCTCCGATTCCATGGCACCAGTCTTGTGAACCCCAGCCCGGTCGTGGAAAGCCCCCCGAGTGGAGCAAGGTCCCTGATAGTAATACTATTCCGAATCTAAGATTACATGCTGACTAACTCCCCATCGTGTAATGCTCAGTATTTTTCCAGACGTGCAGAAAAATAAGTTGAAAACATCTCCAGGTAGCTCTATGTTCACAGACAATCAAGATTGTGCAGTTCTCTTGCAGCCAAAACAGTCATGTTCGCCTGGTTTAATGCATTTTCCCACTTTGTTTCAATTTAGCATTGCCGTGAGCCATTAACCCTTAATAAGCTGGTTTGAAGATATGAGTTTAACCCGTCATGACAGTATTTTGATGTAAATGTAGATTGGCAAAGCACTAGCTGTACAGTACAGATCAGTGGATAACATTTTCAAGGGGAGCTTTCTGACTTTGAAATGTTGATGGGATTGCTGTTTGTGGCCCTCACAGAGAAATCATGTTGTAACATCACGGACATCACTATTATCTGTATTATACATGAGTCATGAGCAGTTGACTTTCCCATGCAGGGATACATCCACTGAAAACAAAAAGGACACGTCCAAGCCTTGCACCCTGAGTTACACAGAAGCCCAGGGAACCTATAGTTCCCCATTGGTTGAGGTGTTGCCAAGGAGAAAACAGTCAGAACTGAACCAATCAGTCAACACCTTTGTTTCCCCTATAGCTTAAACTGCTGTGATGGTTTGAAATTTGGCATTCTTGCATGTGTCCGGGGGGAGATAAAAAGATTTGGTGACCCGTCTGTCTTTATCCAGCAATATTCCTAGTCTTTCCCGACTTCCCATCCGTTCCTTCCCTCTTTCAGGTTTCCGTCCAGCAATCCGAGTGGCGGCCAGGGGAGTGGTGACGGAGGGAGTGGAGGGAACTTGTATCGCGAAGAGGGAGATGATGACCTCTACAACTGAGCAGCGAGTTCAGAGGTCAAAGAGTACTGGGTCACAGTCTGAGGACAGGCAGCCTTTGCGCACAGCCAAGGACAAAGCTGTTAGCTGCACCGTGCTGGAAAGTGGCACACTTTACTTGGATTCCGCATTTACTTCCGCGTTTTTTTGTTTGAACTCTGACCCCATGTCCCAGGGTTTGGTTTTGGCAGGCACGGCTTCATGACTCGGTGTTTTGTATGGTACACGGAGTAAACACACCTGTCCATTGCCATGGTTACCGTGTGGGCATTGGGTGCATGCTTGTGTGAGTTTGGTGTACCTGTGTGTATATAGAAATATATAGAGGTACATGTGTGAGTGTGAGCTCAGTTATGACTGCCATCCATTCAGATGCAGGCAAGAAAGCTCAGTCTTTCACGATGTGACTAAACCAAACCAAAGGCCTGGTCCCTGGAGACAGAAGAAGACCCTTTCTGATAGGTGAGGTACTTGTCACAGAGCCATACAGCATGGAAACAGACCCTTCGGTCCAACCAGTCCACGATGAGCATAATCCCAAACTGTGTGGTATTCCCTAAAGGATTTCAATGCTGTACATTGAGAGGGATCCAAATTGTCTCTCTAAACCCATTGTCTCACCTGTCTCAATTTCTGTCTACCTTAGAACTGATTTTATGGCCAATCCTGTATTACAAACTGGAATATGTTATACAGACTCCATGTGCTAAGACCAGGGACAGGATGTGTCTCTGCAGCCATGATGAGGATCGGGTCTCAGTCACCAACCTCCCAGCTTTTTGTATATGGGATCAGACTGAGTGCTCTCTGCTCTCTCCAACTCCACCCCAAGCACCTCAGATTGGCAACTCTCATCCCCCTTCTCATATCTGTTCATCCCCTTGAGAGGATCAATCCCTCCCCTATCTCTGTCACCTCCTTCAGCCCTACAATTGACCCTCTGGTTTGGACACTACGTTGTGTCACCTTGAGAGCACCCCCTCCCCACACACGGGCCTGAGGTGTGATCCTCTGCAGGCCCCAGGCCTCAGTGTAAATTATGCCAGCCAGCTGGGAGTGGGGCCAACTCTCCAGCTCAGAATGCCCCAGGCACAACAGGAAATGAAGTTAACGCTCCAGGCTGCAGCTGTGACGTGGATAGTGTAGGATCTATGTAATAAAAATATGGGTTTACTTGAACTTTCTCTGGACATGTTCCTACTTGAAAGAGATGCTGCAAAGAGGCTGTATGATTGGGTGAGGGAGTGCGTCGATGATGAACTGATTGTTGGGGAACATGTTAGGGGGACTAACCCTATCGCAGCCTTTCTGCTCCTATGATGCTGCTTGGCCTGCTGTGTTCATCCAGCTGTGCACCTTGTTGTCTCTCATGGTAGGGGGAGCGGTTGTTTCACCGGAATCGCGGGTTCCGGGCTCATGGCTGTGAATCCAGTCCACAGCAACATAATTAACTCTTTTAATTGCCCTCTGACATGGCCTCACAAACCGTCACTCTGTTCAAAGGGCACTTAGGGATGGGCGATAAATTCTGGCCTTGCCAGTGATGCCCCATGTCCCATCAAAAAGTAAACAGTTCATATCCTGGACAAATATGTCTCTCCTTCTCTGTGCCTCTCTGTCTGCTTGTCTCCCCTTCTGTCTCCCCCTCTATCTGTCTGTCTGCCTGTCTCTCCCCCTCTGTCTCTCTCCATCTGTCTCTCTCCATCTCTGTCTCTCTCGCTCTCTGTTAGTCTCTCTGTCTCTCCCCCTCTGTCTCTCTCTGTCTCTGTCTCTCCCTCTCTGTCTCTGTCTCTCCCGCTCTCTGTCTCTCCCCCTCTGTCTCTCTCCGTCTCTGTCTCCCTCGCTCTCTGTCAGTCTCTCTGTCTCTCCCCCTCTGTCTCTCTCTGTCTTTGTCTTTCTCTCCCGATGTCTCTCTCTGTCTAACTCTCTGTCTCTTTATCTTTCTCTCTCTCCCTCTCTCTCTGTCCCCCTCTTTTTCTTGCTCTGTCCTTGCTTGGAGTTTGAGGGGAGTTGCTGATATTTCCTGTTCAGTCTTCCCCTGTGAAGTTCGTCTGGCTCCAGATCTGGCATTGAGATGGTTTGTGTCTTTGTTACGCAAGGTTCAAGTCTAAAGCTTTGCTTTTCCAATGCCACCTGATAAAACACATGCCAACCCTGTGAAAATGGAATGGGATTTATATTTAACAAATCCAGTTATGCTCTAGAGAAAAAAGCCAAGTGATGCGTATAGCTGTGTGAGGTTGTGACCATATGTCAGGTAGAGTAGGGATGGGGGCAGGAGTGAATCTGTAACAAGGTAGGTATTTCTACCTTTTAACAACACCTAACTTCAATGACCCTGACATCACCTCAAGCCAAAGAACGGTTACAGAATAAAAGACCATTCTGTACCAGCTCTCTGCAGGAGCAATTTAGCTAATCCTTTTCCCCTGCCTTCTCTCCCTAAAGTACAGGGGGCACTTGGGAAAGAGAATCAGAGATACACTGTTTGCTCCATCAAGCCTTCTCCTTCACTCCATACAATAGTGGCTGATTTTGAGTTTCTCCGCCTGTTCCCCATGTCCCTGATTTTCCGAGAGACCAAACTTCTGCGCTGACTCCAGTCTGCGTTAACAGATGAGGCCCAAACGAGAGAAATAGGGTCTGCACCAGGAACCGGAGACACTTATAAAGGATCAGGGATGTACGGTGTTTATAGGAATTACCCACAACCTGATATTCCTCTGCAGCCCAGGAACCTAAACCCAATCCATGACAAGTCACCAGGACAAGTACTTTGTTTTTTGAAAAGGGACAGTGTTCCAGTTAAAAGTGAAAGAACTGCGGATGCTGTAAATCAGGAACAAAAAACAGAAGTTATTGGAAAAGCTCAGCAGGTCTGGCAGCGTCTGTGAAGGAAAAAATCAGAGTTAACGTTAGTCACTGGACCCAAAACGTTAACTCTGATTTTTTTTTCACAGATGCTGCCAGAGCGCTGAGCTTTTCCAGCAACAGTGTTCCAGTATCCCAGCTGGGAAAAACCAGCCTGTGTTGGCTGTTTTCCGTTGGGAATAAGCACCTGGTCAGCAGCCATTCCCGGCTTTTTCTGATTGGGAAAGGCTAACTACATAACACGCTGTGATTAACTGTCATCAATTAGTCAGAGAGGTCTACAGCATGGAAACAGGCCCTTCGGCCCAACGTGTCCATGCTGCCCAGTTTTCACATCTAATTTAGTCCCATTTGCCTGTGTTTGGCCCATATCCCTCCATACTATCCCATCCATGTCCCTGTCTAAACGTTTCTAAAATGACAAAATTGTACTCGCTTCCACCACTCCCTCTGGCAGCCTGTTCCAGATACTCACCACCCTCCATGTGAAAGAATTGTCCCTCTGGACCTTTTTGTATCTCTCCCCTCTCACTTTAAACCTATACCCTCTAGATTTAGACTCCCCTACCATGGGGAAAAACTGTTGGCTTTCTACCTTATCTATGTCCCTCATGATTTTATAGACCTCTATAATATCACCCCTCAGTCTCCTACGCTCCAGGGAGAAAAGTCCCAGCCTATCCAATCTCTCCTTATAATTCAAACCCTCCAGTCCAGGAAGCATCCCAGTAAATCTTTTCTGCACTCTTTCTAGTTTAATAATACCCTTTCTATCGTAGGGCGACCAGAACTGCACACAACACACCAAATGCGGCCTCACCAACATCTTGTACAACTACAACAAGACATTCCAACTCCTATACTCACTGCTCTGACCGGTGAAAGCTAGCATGCTGAAAGCTGCCTTCACCACCCTGTCTACCTGTGACACCACATTCAAGGAGCTATGAACCTGTATGGCTAGATCTTTTTGTTCTGTAACACTCCCCAGGGCCCCACCATTGACTGTGTAAGTCCTGCCCTGGTTTGACCCACCAAAATGCAACATCTCGCATTTATCTAAATTAAACTCCATCTGCCATTCCTCAGGCCAGTGGCTCAGTTGATCAAGATCTCACTGCACTCCCAAATACCTTCTTCACTGTGTGAGCAGAGTTTCACTTGATCAAACCGCACTGCTTTTGCAGTCTGGGACTTGATTATTCAGGACAGGATCCTGCCTTGTCTTGGTGCACCCATTAACTGGAGAGTTCCTGGAAACACATTTCTCTTGTTTCAGACGAACTTCAACTAGAAGCTTGACAAGAGTCCATCCTTTCCCAGAGTTAGATTGGTGGACGGTTTTTGAGCTGTTCGCCATTGAACATTAGCAATGGACTGTACTGACAGCTTTGTGCTAGCTATCAATCCTTGCTGGCCCTTTTTGTTAATTCACAGGATGAGGGTGTTGCTGGCTAGGCCAGCATTTATCCCCATCCATAAGTTAAGAGTCAACCATATTGCCGTGGGTCTGGAGTCACATGTAGACCAGACCAGGTAAGGATGGCAGTTTGCTTCCCTAAAGGACATTAGTGAACCAGATGGGTTTTTCCTGACAATCAACAATGGATTCATGGTCATCACTAGACTGGATTCCAGACTTTTATTGATTTAAACTTCCACCATCTGCTATACTTGGTCAGAATGGACTGTTCCCTCCCTATTTTATCCCAGTATGTCCCCTTCTCATTCTTCATCCTTCACCTCTCCACTTTTCTCCTCTTCTTCCAAATCACTCTCTCTCTTTCCCACACTTTACTAACCCTGTTTCCTACTTGATTCCTCATTTCTCTCTTCTCCCTCTCAGCCCTCTTCCCTTCCCTCTATTTCATCCCCCTCTCCTTTCATCTCTCTCTTCCCCCTCACCTTCTCTATCTCTGTCTGTGCATCCTCTCTCTGTCTGTCTCTCTCGCTCTCTATGTCTTTCTCTGTGTCTCCCTCCCTGTCTATCCCTCTGGCTCTCTCTGTGTCTCCCTCTGGGTCTCTCTCTCTTGTCTCTGTCTGTGTCTCCCACTCTGTCTCTCTCTCTCACACACACACACACTCTCTGTCTCAGCGTGTCTGCCTATCTCACTTTCTGATTCTATTCCTCGGGCAATAAAGGTGCTTTACTTTATTTCCAAATTCTTCCAGAAACACAACAGTTCTTTGAGCTCCCCCCTACCTTTGTCTCTCAGTGAGAGAGTCACTGGCTGGGGGAGGGCAGGGGGAGCTCAGGGTCTCCCTTGTGTAGGCCTGGGGGTGGGATTGGGGGCTGGGGACCTCCACCCCGCCCCCACCCGGTCACTTGCTGAATACAGGGATATGGAGCCAGTGAGTGTTGTTCCAATAGGGTCCTGACCAAACCCAACCAACAGCATCACGGCCAAATCTAACTCACTTCCCACACCCCACCCCGTTTCCCCCCTTCTCAACCCCTCCGCCACTGCCTCCTCACAGTCTCCCTCCTCCACCCACTCCCTCATCCTCACACCTCACCCTGTACTTACCCCTCCCCTCACCCTCCACCTAAACCCCTCCTCAGACACACCCCTCCAACCCCCACCCCCCCACTCACTCCACAAACTCCTTGCTCTACCCTCCTCCCTCAAGCTCCCCTCTCCATCCTCTACATTGCCCTTCCTCCTGCTCCTATTCATCTCTTCCCTTCTCCCCCCTCCCTCCTTCATCTCTTCCCTTCTCCCCCCTCCCTCCTCCACCCGTCTCCCTCCCTCCATCCCTCCCACTGTCATGTTTAGTTCAACATTCAGTGTAAGGTGTTATGAACATCAATTTTTATTGTCACATCAAAGCAATGACTCAAAAGGCCACCATACAAAAATACATGGTTCAAAAGTTAATGATAATTCTTAAATACATTCATTTAATATTCACATATTTTTAAAAAATTCTTTGAGCTGAGCAATTCTCTGCATTCCTGAACGTTGACACAAAAATAAACAGTACTGAGATCTGAGCAAATATAAAATATATCGTTCATTGAAGTGCCATTTGCAAAGTAAAGTGCAATGAATGAAGGAGTCAACAGCTTAAGATGTAACCCCTTCAGATTGTGTCATAGCCTCGACTACCAATGAGGTTTGGAGTTTTCTAGAAAGTGGTTAGTGCAATTATTTTTAGCGATGGTCATCTTGGATTAAACCTAGCCCCGCCTGGAATACAAGTTCTGAGGAAGGGTCACTGGACCTGAAACGTTAACTCTGATTTTTCCTTCACAGATGCTGCCAGACCTGCTGGGCTTTTCCAGCAACTTCTGCTTTTGTTCCTTGTTTTAACGTGCTCCAGCCTGTTCCCCCACTTCACGCAGCTACAAGTGGCAGTCAACAGTGTCAGGTTGGGAAACGGGAAGGACGTTGTAGGCCCTTGGCTGTTATAATGGGGGAAACTCAGCAGCTAATCCAGCCTGAGCAAGATCCCACAAACAGCAATGTGATTAATGACTGGCCGATCCTTTCCTGCTGATGCTGGCTGGACTCAGGGGGAGAAATTCCCTCGCTTTTCTTCGAAGTAGAGGCACAGAATCTTTTGCACCTACCCAGGTTGAAGGTACAGTCTCAGCTGAAAGTCAGCACCTCTGGCAGTGTGGCACTCCATCAGCACCACACAGTGAGTGCCCACCTGCATCTTTCTGTGCTTTTGGCTTCTGGTATGTTGCCACAGGTCAGTATGGCTGCTATAACCCAGGAACGGATGGTAGTCCTTCCAAAGTGAAATATGAGCCCAACCATTCCATTAGCAGATTCACAGAGCATTTGTGTACACAATGCACAGCACAGAAAGAGGCCATTCAGCCTGCCTGGTCCATGCTGCTTGTTTATGTTTCTTCCTTCACCTCACATCCTTTCACTCTTGTGCCTCTCTCCAGCTTGCCCATAGCTTAGTTGGCTGGAGGCTGGATTGCAAAACAAACTGATGCCAACAGGGTGGGTTCAATCCCTGCCACAGGCTGAGGTCACCCTGAAAGGACTCTCCTTCTCAAGATTGCCTGAGGGGTTGGTGACTCCTCTGGTTACACCAGTTGTCCATCTCTCTCATGACTGAGTGACCCTCTGGGACTATGCTGTCTTTCCCTCAACAGATTTTACATGCCTTAACCCCTCCCAGTCATAACCAAAGCCATATCACCCCACGCCCCCACCACTTTTTCTGTGAACAGGCTGTTGAATAGGGTTCTGTAGGAATGGTGTTTATTGATGGCTTCTGGTTTCAGACCAGCCCTGGCTCGGGGACCATTTGCTCAAGGGAAAGTTTACACAACACAAAGAGGGGACATATTGTCGGACATTGGAATGAAAAACCATAGGAATTTTTTTAAAAAAAATAAACTCTTATGAACATTGAAACAATTATGCAGAACCCAGAGATGCACACCAGAGAGTAGGTAAAGTCCAGACCCACCAAGGGTGAAAGGCAGCATTCCAATAAAACCTCAAAAACACAGTAAAATCCCAGCAACAAAATAAATTGGCTTGTTAGTGCATCAGTATCATGCAGGCTGCAACCATTACAGAGTTTGATTCCAATGTTCTAATTTTGGAGATTTCAACCCCAGCCATTGATGCGACATTCCCCAGGCTTGCAGACAAAAACATAGAAAGCTTTGGCCACACAACTGGACAATTGCGACTTCAAACACCAATGACAGGCACACAGCCAATGGGAATGAATTTCCTTTCCTGTCATCACTTAGTAATAGTTTGCTGCTGTTGTGTGTTCTAACACTTCCTGCTTTTCGCCCATGGGCTGGAGGAGATTTGGTTTTTCACACGCAATGCTGAGTTCCCTATGCCCCTCCACCCTTTCCTTGTCATATTACCTACTTCATGAAAGGAGGGCAGTTCTGCCCAAGTCAGAAATTCCCCAAAAGACCCTCCAAAGTGAAAGAGCGAGGAGGGCATTTATAATGGAGATGCCAACAAACTACCTTCTCCTCCCCCCACCACTCCAACCCCCAACAAATCCAAGGAATCAACTTTTCACCAGGAAAAGCCTTCTGTCAAACCACAGGCCAGCATTTCTCAGCTGACTCGAGAGTTACCAGATCAATTTTGAACTCTCCACACCGTCGACCTTGCGGTAGAACCCAATGTTCGCTTGACCATCGAGTTACTGCTTTGTTGGGGTCATGGTTTCAATGGCTTTTGCCCGCCCTGCCTGTTACCAAGCCACACTCACCCTCCCCAAATCTTATTTGACACGAAAGCAATGTTCTTGTTGATTGTCCAGTGTTGGTTCACACCAACTGAAGCCCAAAGAAATGACTTGTCCTCACTTGGTCAGTCAGTTTTGCACAGTCTTTAGACCAGATCTAATCCTCTGGGACTCAAGGTACATTCAATCAGTTTCACACTGAGTTCTCGATCGACAGGACACGGTGATCTGAGTCAGATCCCAATGGGTTAAAATAATCATTAGGTTTTCTGCTGCTACATTGACAGTCAGCAGCTCTAAAGGACCCTGAGGGATCAAGTTCTTCTCTTCACCATGTCTGCTTCCTTCGGTGCCAGCTGGAGCAATATGACATTCCTCTCAAGGTGGCCGGGAGTGAGACTCATCACCAATGTCTTCAGCTTCCGATCCTCACCAGCCGTCTCCATTCAGAATTTGTTAATGACACTGCGTTCTGAACTCTGAAAGGAGCTAAACTCCCAGCGGTCAAATTTGCTCTTATTGAAGTCCGTCTTTCTTACGAGCATGGTATAAACCTTCCTCAGGACTGCACGTCGGAGCAGGATGTACACCCAGGGATCCAGAATCTGATTCCAGGAAGCCATGCGTACCCCGAGGAAGCTTAACCAGGACACTTTCTCAATGGTCTGGATTTTCTTTAAACCAACAATCACCTGAGACCAAACAGAGTGAACACTTTATCAAACAGCACAGAAGATACATCGAACATACAGCATAGATCCAGACCATTCAGCCCATCTGGTCAGTACTTATGCTACAGAGCACCTTCGTCCCCGTCTCTTGGAGATAATCAAAACCAAAACAGCAGCTACTTCACAAAGCAGCCTGAAAGTTGTTGACAGTGTCACTACAAGAAAGCACCGTATCAAATGAATCTGTTTGGGACTTTTAACATTTAAAACAAACAAGAAAATTTTATCTGGCTTCTCCTCACTTAGAGTCGTAGAGTTGGACAGCACGGAAACAGACCCTTCAGTCCAACCAGTCCATGCCAACCACAATCCCAAACTAAACTAGTCCCACCTTCCTGCGCTTGGCCCATGTCCCTCCAAACCTTTCCTTTTCATGTACTTATCCTAATGTCTTTTAAACATTGTAACTATACCTGCATCCGTCACTTCCTCTGGAAGTTCATTCTGCACATGAACCACTCTGTAAACAAATACCCCTCATGTCCTTTATAAATCTTTCCCCTCTCACCTTAAAAATATGACCCCTAGTTTTGAACTCCCTCACCCTAGGGAAAAGATCCTTGTCATTCACCCTATCTATGCCCCGCATGATTTTATAAACCTCAATAAGGTCACCCCTCAACGTTCTATGCTTCAGTGAAAAGAGTCCCAGACTTTCCAGTTTATTTTTAATAACAACATCCTGGTAAATCTTTTCCGAACACTCTACAGTTTAACAATATATTTCCTGTAACAGGGCGACCAGAACTGGACACAGTACTCCAGAAGAGGCCTCACCAACATCTTGTACAACCTCAATATGGCATTCCCAACTCCTAAACTCAAAGGTCTGAGCAATGAAAGCAAGCATACTAAACACATTCTTAACCACCCTGTCTACATGTGACACAAAATTCAAAGAATTATGTACCCGATCCCTTAGGTCTCTCTGTTCTACAACTTCCTGTTATTAAACTCAGCTTTAACTTCCCCTATCTCTGTAACCTCCTCCAGCCTCTACATCCCCTCCATATCTCTGTAACATCCCCCAGCCCCTACACCCCCTCCCTATCTCTGTCACCTCCTCCAGCCCCTACACCCCCTCCCTATCTCTGTAACTTCCATCAGCCCCTATATTTCCTCATCTTGCCAGACTCTGAGCTCTAGAATGCCCTCCCTTACCCTCAGCACCACCACCACCACCTGCCCTCCCGTGCCCCGCTGTCATGCCATGCTGCATGGTAATGCCAATACCCACCAGAAGAGGGCTCCAGCAGACACAGGACACCATCATGATCCCAATTAATTGGATAACCATTTCGATGTCATGGGATTTTGCTCTGCGGTTACAATTCTGCTTCTTAATCCTGGCCTGGATGAGCGTCACTCCGCTGATGGTGTTGCAGATCAGTGAGATTAACAGAGCCATCATTCCCAGGAAAGAGAAGAGCAGAGCAAAGGCATCCTCTGTCCAGTGCTGGGCAGGGCCCCCCAGGCGGATGAAACACCAGGTCCTCGGGCACTGGACGCCATATCGGCCAAAGTTCAGAAAGGGCAGGAAAGCGACGAATCCGGCCGTCAACCAAAGAAAGACAACGGCCAGCTTAGTCCTGGTGGACGTGACCACAGCTGAATGGAGCAGGGGTTTTGTGACACCGACACAGCGCTCAACTGCCATGATGCAGCCCAGGAAGAGTGGGCACAGGCCGAAGAACACCAAGGAGCCCCCCAGAAACTGGCACATCGGTCCAGTGCTGACAATTTCCTCCGAGTAGAGACGAAGGACCAGCGCGCCTGGGATGACGTGCCCGGCGAAATCAGTCAGCACCAGGCTGCTGGCAAAGAGCAGGAAGGTGGCTTTGGACCTCCTGCGGAACCTGGCGTAGGATTTGATCAGGATGACAAGAGCAATGATGTTGGACAAGGCGCCCAGAGTCATGGAGAAGCTGGGGACGGCAACAGACACTGACGAGATGGTGGGTTTCCATGGGCACAGTACCGAGCTGGTGTTGGTTTGAGGGAGGCTGGTGTGAGGCAGGTTAGCATTGAGGAGGCTACTGTTCGCAGTAGAACTGCTGATAGCATTAGCAAAACCTTGATAGAGCACTGTCATGTTCCCATGTTGAGCCATTATGTATCTCCTTATCTCCATAACCCATGCAGATCCATTGATGCACCTACTGATGGAAATATTAATAAATTATATAGTTATAATCTATAAAAATAAATTATCTTTTACACAACAAATTATATATAACGTTATATATAATGCTATAGGAATGATATTATTAAATTGGAGAGGGTTCAGAAAAGATTTACCTGGATGTTGCCGGGAATGGAGGGTTTGAGTTATAAGGAGAGGCTGGGACTTTTTTCACTGGAGTGTGGGGGGGTGGGGGTTGAGGGGTGACCTTATAGAGGTTTCTAAAATCATGAGCGGCAGAGATGAGTGGAATGGCAGGTGTTGTTTCCCTAGGGTGAGGGATTTCAAGACTAAGGGGCACATTTTTAAGGTGAGAGGAGAAAGATTTTAAAAAGACACGAGAAGCAATTTTTTGTTTTTAGAGAAGAGTGGTTCGTGGGTGGAATGATCTTCCTGAGGAAGTGGTGGATGTGGGTATAGTTACAACATTTAAAAGCCATTTGGATAAGGTCATGAATAGGAAAGGTTTGGAGGGATATGGGCCAAGTACAGGCAGGTGGGATTAGTTTAGTTTGGGATAGTGTTTGACATGGACTGTTTCTGTGCTGTATAACTCTATAAAGTGTTAAATAATTTTTTACAAAACAAAGAAACCAAACAGCAACATGATCAGAAAATTGTTAGCTTAGGACCAAGTATTGGCAATCCCTTAGAATTTGAATAGTTTATCAGAGCAGTACATGAAAATGGGAAGTCTAACACGGGTTTGGAAATCAGGTCTGCGGCAGCGTGAGCTACACTCAGTTCCACATCACTACACCCCAGGTAGCATGCTCTAGTGATTTCATTCTCAATCCCACCTCAAACACCTAGCCCAACATTCCCCAGGGGGTACTATACTGGCAAAACTCAAAGCCAACACTCTTCCCCCTCTGACTCCCAACTCCGAAAATGCCCCCCTTTTTTAAAATATTCATTCGCGGGGTGAGGGCATCACTGGCCAGGCTACCATTTTTTGCCTATCCCTAATTGCCCAGAGGGCAGTTAAGTGTCAACAAGTTGCTGTGGGTCTGGAGTCACATGTAGGCCAGACCATGTAAGGATGGCAGATTTCCTTCTCTAAAGGATATTAGTGACCCAGAGGGATTTTACAACAATCAGTCTATGATAATTTATTATTTGGTCACTATTAGGTTTCAATTTCAGGTTTATTTAATTCAATTTGAAGTTTCAGCTGCTGTGGTGGGATTCAAACCCAATTATTTCATGTTTCTGGGGGGGTCGTGGACAGTTACATAACCACGGTGGTACCATTCTCTCATGTACCCGTTAGCCTGGGGGGCAGCAATCTGAGAACCAGTCTCAATACATCTAGGTTCGAGAGGGAAAACCACACGTGATCCTAAATCTGCAGGATGTGTGTCAGCGTGAGTGTGTATGTGAGAGAGAGAGAATGGATGTGTGGGAGTACATATGTATGTGTGCATGCATGTGTCCGTGAGGAGAGAATGTGTATGTCTGCAAGAGAGAGACTCTGTGTGAGGAGAGAGTGTGCATGCGTGGTGGATGTGTGTGTGTGAGAGGAGAGAGTGTGCATGCGTGGTGGATGTGTGTGTGTGAGGAGAGAGTGTGCATGCATGTGAGTGTGAGAAGAGAGTGTGCGTCTGTGTGTGAGGAGAGAGTGTGCATGCGTGGGGAGTGTGTGTGTGTGTGAGAGAGACTTTGTGTGCATGAGGAGAAAGTGTGCATGCATAGGTGAGTGTGCGTGAGGAATGTGTGTGTGTTAGAATTAGAGTTAGAGTTAGAATCCCTACAGTGTGGAAACAGGCCCTTCAGCCCAACAAGTCCACACCGAACCTCAGAGCATCCCACCCAGATCCATCCCCCTATGACCCACCTAATACACACCCTCTACCTCCCTGAACACTACGGGCAATTTAGCACGGCCAATCCGCCTAACCTGCACATCTTCGGACTGTGGGAGGAAACCGGAGCACCCGGAGAAAACCCACGCAGACACAGGGAGAATGTGCAAACTCCACACAGACAGTCGCCCGAGGCTGGAATCGAACCCAGGTCCCTGGCGCTGTGAGGCAGCAGTGCTAACCACTGTGCCACCGTGTCGACTGTGTGTGTACGCAGACTGTGTGTGTGTGTGTGTGAGGACTGTATGTGTGTGTGTATGTGTGTTTATGTATGTGTGTGTGAGGAGAGACTTTGTCTGTGTGTGTGTGTGTGTATGTGTGTGAGAGGAGAGAGTGTGCATGTGTGGGTGAGTGTGTGTGTGTGAGGACTATGTGTGTGTGATGACTGTGTGTGTGTGTGTGTGGACTGTGCGTGTGTGTGAGAGAATCTGTGTGTGTGTGTGAGAGAGACTTTGTCTGTGTGTGTGTGGAGAGAGTGTGCATGCGTGGGTGAATGTGTGTGTATGAGGAGAGAGTGTGCAAGCATGGGGAGTGTGTGTGTGTGTGAGGACTGTGTGTGTGTATGTGTGTGTGTGGTGTGTGTGTGTGTGCCGACTGTGTGTGTGTGTGTGTGTGTGAGGACTGTGTGTGTGTGTGAGGACTGTGTGTGTGTGTGAGTGAGGACTGTGTGTGTGTGGAGTGTGTGTGTGTGTGTGAGGACTGTGTGTGTGTGTGTGTGTGTGTCTGTGAGTGAGGACTGTGTGTGTGTGAGGATTGTGTGTGTGTGTGAGTGTGCGAGTACTGTGTGTGAGAGTGTGTGAGGAGTGTGTGTGTGTGTGTGTGCGAGTACTGTGTGTGCGAGAGTGTGTG